TAATAGTTATTATTAGGGCAGAAAACTTGAAGCATTTGCACATTTGTTTTGCACAGTCACAAGAATAGCAGAGTACAATACAAATACATTTCATGATTTTACAAAACTAGTTTTGAAATTTTATTGTGCATATAAATGCATATTTTGCGTTTTTTTTTGGTTTTTAAGTCATATTTTACACTTTTATACACTATTTTATACTTTTTAAAACATATTTAACTTAAATCGATTTTTCCACTGTGACATTTTTATTTCAAACAATACAGTGAAAATGTTTAAATAAAAATGTATTTATTTTTAATTTTTGTCATATTATGTGGTTTTTGAGTGTGCACGGGCCCACATTTTTTGTAGAAGCGATAACAATCTAATGTCGTACACTATACCTATGACATAACTACCACAGCTTTGTGCGCACCACACGGGCTTTTATTCGATTAAGATTAATTTATGAAACGTTTCTAAACATGACAATAATCAGTATTTTAGTATTTAGTCTCAGTCAGTTCTGCGGAATGTACATTTGTGTTAAAAAAAAATTTAAGTGCATATTATGGGGTTTTAAAGTGCATAAGTGCTTGCATATTTAAAGCTTTTTTAGAGCTACAAGTCCTTTGCCTTAGTTATTATGATTTGTTATGAACTTACTTCAAGTAGTTCAGAATCTCCTCCTTGAATGATCATCTGTAATAATAAAACAGCTGCTCTACGGGGTTCAATTGCTGGATCAAATCGTAGTACATAATCCGCACAGTTAACAATTTCAGCAACAATTGATCCAAGATTATAACGTAAAAGTCGACAAACGTCAGCAAGATTTGAAAGACTTGATGCTCTAACTAAATGATCATTGTCTCTGACACCAGCCATAAAAGTGTTTAGTAATCGGTTTTTATACAAAGGAATAGTTTCATCTAAATGTTAAATCATCATAGTTTCAACTTTTAATTTGAACAATATATAATTAATTTACATGTAAGTGTTCATACATACTTAATGATTTTATAGTTTTCATCAAGACTTCACCAATTTTTAATCTAGTTTCCGGTGAATGGTTGTAATTTATTGGCATACTGTACTCTTCACAAAGTATTGGGAGAATATCATTTGGATAATATGAACATAATGAAGACAATGTGAATATGGCACTTAAATACAAATATGAATCAGTGTTCTTTAAATTTTCCTATAAATGATTATTATATAATATTACATTTTAGAATAAAAGTGCTGATACTAATAATATTATTTTATCACTTATAATACATACCTGAATCACAATTAATATTTCTGTTTTCTTTACAAGAACCATTTTGTCTCCGGATTCTATCAATTTTTTTAACTCCATTAATGCATGGGATCTACAAGGTAATAATGGATCCCTGGTATCAAATAACACATCATCGATTGTACGCTGATTACCCACTGGCTGTTTTGAACAAATGTTATAAATTCGTCTAATTTTCTCTTGCGTTTTTAAAATCAAATCATTAAACATACC